GCTGTGCCAGTATCAGTGGAGCCTAGCATCATGGGCAGTAGGAATGCCTCTATCACGGAGATCATTTTTTCTAGTCTTGATTTATGTGGGGTAGGGTGTGTTGGCAGCTCGGGCACCCAGGCTGCTGGTGATCAGTGTAGCTGTGCTTTAAAAGGAGCAATTCAATTCATTTTGACAGAGAAGAAAGGAAACACAGGAGTGTCCAGCAGCAGGTATGGAAGAAGATAAAAAGAAATGCCTAAGAGCACTGTGCTGTCAAGTCTAAGGCATGACATTCTTTCCCAGGTTCCTGGCTATGCACATACATACATGCATTTTACTGCCTTTCCTTGACTCCAGTGAGCAACATTTGTTAGCATCTCCTTCCTTATGACAGCACATCTCTGGAATACTCGTATCCCAAGCTAGATCTTTGCTACAAAAAAAACCAGTAAATGGCAATCACTTCCTGCTGGGTAAAAAATTTAATTCCTCATCCTGAAGTTAAGAACCCACCGAACACGGTGTGGAAGCTAGTAAACCCCACTATGGGTGTACTAACTGCTGTTCTCACTGGCACCGTGCCTTGCAAAGTGGAGATAGGCAGAAATGCCTCAGAGTGTAATCCTGGCACCAGAGAAATCATGTTTTCTCTGGGCCAGTCATCCACTCCTCCCTCTATAGCTCCATTACAATATAATTAATTGTTCAATGTCTCCAGGAGCGCTTCTCCCCTGCCCTCTTCCTATTATACACCTTGAAAATTAGTTGAGAAAATTTATCAGGAAGGTAGCTTTCACTTCTGTGTTAATAGAGGAAGGCAAATCTAGAGTGGAGAAGCTAAAATAATAGTTTATAAAAGGGGGCTAATAGGAGCAAGAAATATGATACATCAACATAAAGGGCAAACAAGACACATTGTGAAATAATTCTGGGTTACAAGCACACTTCTCTTATTCTGCAATAAGAGAACAATCTTACTCTGCAAACACACTGTAACCAAACAACAGATTTTGAGTGAAAAGATCCTAAATCTGGTTAATAGTTATAACTTAATAATTTCAATTCCAACACCCTTTCATGAGGTGATAATCACTACATTCATTTTGCAAGCAAACAAATCAAATACCAGGGAGGTTAGGTAACCCGCTCAAGGTCACACACCTAGCAAGTAGACCTGGAATTTGAATCTAAGTCTGATTTTAGAGCCTACACTCTACTACTTTATTATCTCCCAGTACCCACCATTCCTCAGAGATTCCTGCCCTCCTTTTAATCTCTGGCAATTGACGATAGGCGCCCAGGATTTTCTTCATATGTAATGAAACTATCCCTACATTCTAAGAAAAGAGAAATCATATAAGCCTCTGATTTCATTTTTTACCTCAATGTATTTTTCATGCCTTGCTAAAGTATCTGAATTTCTTCAAATTAAAGGTGCTACAAAAAAGGGTGGTGAGGGGCTGAAAACTGGTTTTTTCAGTCTGTATCTGTGTTGTAAGTCAAAACCTTTTATGATGGAAGCTCTCTGACAACAGGGACCACTTCTGTGTGAAATGTCTAGTACCTCTGAGAATGTAAGTACATGATAAATGCTAAATATTAAATTTAGAATGTTATCATAAAATGTGATCTGCTGATTAAGAAAATGGACTTTCCCAAGTGGTCGTTTATTATACTTTTAAGAGTTACCATTACTGAGCACAGAGAGTACACTCAATATTATTCAAGATAGAAAGAGACAGAGTTCATGTCCTAGGGGCAGACTGTCAAATTCATCTAAATACAACAATGGAGTGGAAGCTAAACCCAAAGCTTCATTAGAAAACGATATTTACTTATTGTTTCTGGTTGGGGGAAATGGAAGAAACTGTCAAAGCCAGGATTTGGGGAAAGGTATGAAAGGAAAACTTTATTGACACAGTAGGCTTGGAAAGACAATCTGAGAGAAGACGAGAAAGTGATCATAGACTGAATTTTTTAAAAAGTAGGGGAGAACACTAACACAAGAAGAAAGTCAAATTTAAAAATACAAGCAGTCACTGGGACGCCTGGGTGGCTTGGTAGGTTGAACGTCCGACTTTGGCTCAAGTCATGATCTTGCGGTTTCTGAGTTCAAGCCCCGCGTCGGGCTCTGTGCTGACAGCTCAGGGCTTGGAGCCTGCTTCAGATTCTGTGTCTCCCTCTCTCTCTGCCCCTCCCCTGCTCTTGCTCTGTCTCTCTCGGTCTCAAAAATAAATATAAACATTAAAAAAGTTTTAAAAAGACACAGGCAGTCAAGGGTGCCTGAGTAGCTCAATCGGTTAGGTATTCAACTTCGACTCAGTTCATGATGTTGCACTATGAGTTCAAGCCCTGTGTTGGGCTCTGTGCTGACAGCTCAGAGCCTGAAGCTTGCTTCAGATTCTATGTCTCCCTTTCTCTCTGCCCTTCCCCCA